CAACCTCAAATCCTTATCTCATTTAATTAACGTGAGCTAAAGCAAATCACAGGATACACAAAGAATTTGCTTCAGCTGCCTTTACAAGCCTTCGCTTGTAACACTGCAACATCCAAATTTCCTGGTTTATTTACGATGCTGCAAGGGATTGCAGGATTTTATGAGCAGATACACTTCCCTTGCAGTCAGCACAACAGCAGGGGAAGATTCCAAATTCCTGAGCTACGGCGTATCAAAACAGTGGTTAGGAGAAGATCCCACAAATTACAGACTCCACATTAGATTATATCCCTATGTCACAGCTGCTGAGTCAGGCAGTATAGACAGGGTATACAGCAACACCCTTGCAGAGCTACGAGGGAGGTAAAACTACAGAACAAACTGATACATCAACAAGTGGTTATTCTCTAGCATTTCACAAGGATCTCCAAGTGAGCAGAGACCATTTTAATAGACTTAGATCCTCAGTCTGAGACTATGTGCTGTGTTCATGTAGGGAGGTTGCAGTGCTAAGTACATAAAACATGTGACAAGGATTGAGTTCTTGCTAATTAAAAGTGGCTCTATACTGTTCCTTCCTGTACAGATTCCAAGGGATGGAAACTTGTGATTTGCATTCTTTTTCCATTTGAAATATTTTACTCATCCACCACAACCTGATTCAAAATAACAATACTCCAGGTGTTTGCAGCTACCAGGCTCTAAAGGAGCAACCAACAGTTGCTACCTTTATGCCCTAAAAAGAAAATGAATCTTACTTTTAAGATAGTGAGGAAGATACCAGAAGCTATTTTATGGGGAATAGTTTATCTGAAAGTGTCCACACAGTACAGATATTCTTCCATTACTTTGTCCAACCTTTTGACCTGTATTTGTGAGACATATTTCACACAAATACACAGTCAAATATGTGTTTTTGGTCTAAGTGGACCACATAAGAGCTTACAGCATAACACTTATCATCTTCAAGTTAATAGGCATGTCATAAAACAGCAGGACATGCTTTCAGGTCTGAACTCCCAACTCCAAGCTCCTCAGGTGACTCATGCCATGCTTTAATTCTGTTCCTGAATGGAAAAGGTGTATGTGCCACAAAAACCCATGTACTTACAATGTACACACAGATCTGAATAAATATATATGTTTAAAAACATACACATACCCTTGGGTCAACCACTAAGTACGTTTTGATATTCATGGATTCAAGGTAAGGATCCCTCAGGTGTCCATTCCCTTCTTCTACTTCATAAGCTTTGCCTAGGTGATTTAACGTGGCTTCAGTGATGTGCACACGGCTGAGAAGGGGAGAAAGAACAAGAGACTCAAACACTCACAGAAAGGTCACATTAAGCATTTCATTTACATTTCAATGGCCACTGCTGACATTTCAGCTTTTCAGCCATCTCCTGCTTTGGCAGCCAACTGCAAAATCCTGCCAGTACTTAAAATTATATTTGCAATCCTTTACACTGCAGTTCTTCCTTGCACATCTTTCATAGCAAGCATGCTAAAAAGCACCTCCCACAATGAGACAGCATCAGCATAAAAGTCAATGGAGCTAAGCAGAGACATATAAGAAACAAGAAGAAACGTGATCAAAGGAGATCTGATGACTGACAAGACAGACAGACTCAGACAGGTTGTTTCAGCTGGTGAGAGCTGCAGGGAAAACTCCCCACAAAACACAAGAGAGGACTGTCTCCTGCTAGAAATGCACGAGAAGGGGAGGAGACAGCTACAAACTCTGAGGGGAAAAGAAAGCTGGTTTCATTTAACTAAGAGGAGAATTCTGAAAGTTTGTCTTTTTTGACTGAAACAATCTAAGGAGAACATAACACAGCGTACACCAACACGTTTCTAAGAGGAGCAGCTAGAATTCTTTCTGTACTCATTCACTCTCTCCCTTAAATGTTATTCTGCTCAGTATCCCAAATCATCTACTTCCATATAAATATGAGTAATATCTTTCCATATAATTTCTCATCAAGAGATTTGACTGTGACCATAAAGCAGCATTTCTCATGTTCTATTTCCTCACTGTTCCCTGGCTTTTCTCACTTCTCTTTGGCATGGAGGGGTTAAACACTGTCTGTCAGTCCTACAATCCACGAGCTCAGGGCTGGGAGTAGAGCATTTCCAGAATGAAAGCTGACAGTGTGCAGCACTCCTGCTTAACAACAGAGAGCAAGAGGATCACCATCCCATCCACCTCTACTTAATGCTACATGAAGTTTGCATGAAAATAATTCATCCAAGACTTGAAGACTACTGGTCATGGCTTCCAACAAGGAAGAATAAAAAATACCTCAATAATTTTTAAGCCAAAAGGTAAGAGTTTTGGAGGGCAGAGGATGCATGCTTTTGTTTGTTTACTAATAGCTGTCACAACAACAAAAAAAAAGTCAGTTGTCGCCTTGACTATGTAGTTTTGTAATCAAGGTGAACCTTCAAATCTGAAATTTTAAAGCTTGCTCTAAAAGCATAATTTTCTTCTGTGGAGACTGGGGAATTCTGGGTGATGTCTGTATCAGATGAGCCTTAAAACACAGCCACATAGTGCAGCAAGTTTTCTGTGCTCCTCCACTTCTCTCAACAGGCAGTGCATTTGTTCACCACCCAACATTTCCCGTTTCACTAAGCTTCCTCTCCCCTCTTCCTTAACACACTGCCATGGGGCATTTTAGATCTTACTGCAAACTTCTTTCCAAAGGATATGCTGATGATTTCTCAGCAACTACTAATTGCTTAGTAGGATTCCAGGATGAGAACATAACCCAAAGATGCTGTCAGTAAAGGAGCCTCTCACAGACAAGCTGTAACATGCACTGCTGCAGTTGCCATGCTAGGGCAGAACCCTTAGCACACTGCACAGAGTTTCCTATGCTGACAGGCTGGGGAATAACAGAGAGAATTGGGCATAAATGTGTTTTTAACTTCAGTTTTACATTACTCCTTTCTGCTTTAGTGGTTTATTAAATTATGAATGCAAGCAATTTTTAAATCAGAAAAATGAGGAATAAGGATACTCTGTCACTGCAAAGAAATTTTTTATAATGCAAGCAGTATTCCTGCATCCTTTCAAAAGCCTTTAGAATGCCTTAATTTACAGAAACTCAAAACATATATACTTCCTATTTTAAATAAAACCTCAGACTGCTCCTAATGACAAAACTTCCAAAGGAGCAGGACTGTGCATGTGGGAATGGGGAAGCACTGACACATCATTTTCCTGCAGAGCAGGAAACAAATGGAACATTTGCATAGTGAATAAAAACCCTTCCTCCCTGTCAGGCTCAGTCTTCCACAAGTGGAAGTTGATTCCTCTGTCCAGTTTTGAAACACAAGATAAGTGAGTGCTGGACATGTATAGCTATAAGAAGTATTAAGTATAATGTTTCTGAGTCAGCCTGACAACCTGAACCACCTTAAGTCATTGTCAAATATAAACATGAAGACCATAAGGGAATAATCAAAGTTTTCAAGATTAAATAACAAATTAAGTATGTTTTCGTGCCATATTCAGAGTCATGTTGTTTGCTTTACCAACAAAGGAAACTTTGCAACTCTGTATTCTTGTTTAATTATGCTGAATCAACACACTAAAACACTCAACCTGGATGGTACTGCAACTGTCAACCAAGTTCCAATCAGTTTTCTTTCTGTTTCGGTCATCAATGCAAGAACATAATTTGATAGTCATATCCCCTTATCATTTAGCATAAATTAATTTTTCAGTTACAAGAATATAACCTAAAAGCTAAGGCACAGAAACAATAAGAAACCCTATAATGTCCCTGGCTAGAATCACTTTCCAAAAGAAATCAATACTATAATGTTTTAACATATACCCCTATGAATGCCATGAAATTAAAAAGTACTGATTTATACAGACTACCAAGAAACTAAAAAAATTATGGTCTGATTTGGCAATGGAAAAATGGAAAGTCTTATAATGGTCTTTTTTTGGTGCAATCCACCAAAATAAGAAAAAAAAAAGAAGTGTTTCTTATGTGAATTCTCACCCCTAAATTCAACACAAAATTTTTAAAAAGTATACTCATATTTGAAAAACATTTATATTTGTCCTTTTCAATGAGAATTTTAAAAAAGGCTGCAGGAACAACAACCTCAGACCCAATCCTTGCCCTGCTGAGCAGCACATAGCAAGTTGCATTACTGCTTGGCCTTGGCTCTTCCAGTCAGGACCATTTGCTTCCCTTCCCGTTCTGCCTGTGAGAAATGCTGCACAGGGAAATAAGTAACAACCAACAGCTCCAGACTTTCCTTGCTTGGATGCTCCCCAGTCAGCTGCATTCGAATTTCTGAGTTGTTTGGGGTTTTGGGGGAGTTAGAGCTAATATAAATCAAGTAGGACTGATCAATACCCGAACAGAAACGCTGGGTAAATACGCAGCTTGGCCTTGTTGACCCAAGTAGCATATCTGTTCTTCAGCTAAACTCACAAATGTAGTGTTATCCCTCTGCACAGCATGGATTAACTGAGTCAACATAATGCACTGCTGACGACACACGTCCCTCCAATGAAGGGAAGGTCAAGAACCAGTCACTAGCCTAAGAATAGAATTTTATAGCTCACTGAAATCGCAATCAGAAAATGTTCACATTTTACAGCTCTGCTAAGTACACATTTGCCCTATTTTCATCCTCCCATTAGAAGGATTTGTGTCATGGCACAGTTACAAATTCCAGACTCATGACAGAGTGAATCAGCCCCAGAAGGGAAGATCCTCACCCAGGTACGCCCGCGGACTCCATGCGGTTTGCGAGGGACACGTCGTGCGACCAGACGTCATACTGCCACTTCCGCAGGCCGATCACGCCACACAGCACGTTCCCAGAGTGAATGCCAACCCTCATGTTGATATCTACTCCTGTGGCTTCTCTCACCTGCCTGTGGAGGGATGAGGGCATTAGAGCAGAAATACACTTTTCATTTTCTCTCCTCCCCCTGGAACCGTGTTAAGACACGTCTTAACATTATACACTTAGTGTATAATGAGATAGAAAGCTGAACATGAGCCAGCAGTGTGCTCAGGTGGCCAAGAAGGCCAATGGCATCCTGGCCTGGAGCAGGAACAGTGTGGTCAGCAAGACCAGGAGGTGATTCTGCCCCTGGACTCGGTGCTGGTGAGGCCACACCTTGAATCCTGTGCTCAG